TCATAAGTTAAAAAAAAAAAAAAAGTCCAGAACTGTAAGCTTCCAAGTAAGTAAACACATCACTGATATTCAATTACAGCAGCAGGCAATGTCTAACAATCTCACAGGTCAAAATATACCAGTTATGTAGGACCCTACCCAGAGAAACAGTGACGCCAGAGATGGAGGCAGAGACGATGATGTGGAGAGATGGAGCGGCTGGGAACTCTAGACCCATAGAGGGAGAGGGGCTGTGTGCTGATGACCAAGGGGCAGGCTTGCAGGGTATACCCTTTGGTTGTTTGATGATGCATGGAGGAGATTGTAATCATGGCAATGAAACAATATACGATAGGATAAATGTAAAGCTAATGTTCTCCCATGTAAACTATCACATAATTCACAATAAAAACTTTAAAGTTACAACTACTCAAATCTGCTAAGAGTTTGCTTAATCCTGGATCAAGAGGCTATGCCTCTTGGTATGGGGGAGGTGGGGATATAATGTGCTACATTAAAATGTGCAAAACCCAAATGTCTTTGCAGCTTGCCAGTCCCCCAGATGGCCTGACAACTCTCTTCAACATGGCCCTGTCTTCTCTTTAGCCTTAGGACATGATAGCATTCTGGCTTGGGCTCTAACTACAAAAATAGATTTAAGAATATTGGCTATCAGCTCCCGAGACTTCAGTCACCATCCAGGCCTGCAAATGAACACATCCAGTGGCTATGTTTTCAGCCAAACAATAAAAAGATCTAAAAGGGAAACAACACTAGGGAGGCAGCACTCCTTAGAATAATCAATCACTTGAGATCAAAAGGCAAGAGGGTTTGGAAATGAGAAGGAATGAAAACAGGAAACATAATAAGAAGGAAGTGGAGTAAGTGATGTTGTATTGTGGAGACTGTAATCAATGACATGAAACAATATAGCTATGAGCTGTTGAATGGAAAATGGATTTGCTCTGTGAAACTTCACCCAATTCACAAAAAGTTAAAAAATTGCCTATTTTCAGCTAATCATCAGAACATTATATTTAATCACTCACTGAAAAGCATAAAATACCTACTAAGTACAGGATTGAATCATTAACTGCTTTGATCACACATTTTTTATGTGCTTACATATGCACTTTACTTTTCAGGCTATGTAAAGAATGAACTCCACATAAAAGCTAGAATCTATTTTTTTCTCATAACTTTATACTCAAAAGTAAGTCAAAAGCTACTGCTACAAAAATCATAGAAGGCTTTATTAAACAAATGTCAAAATATGAAGGCATCATTTCTCAACATATTCTCTACTCTAGGTCTATACACTTACAAAGACGGTGTTTCCATCACTCTAGCCCTGATGTGGCTGGCACTGCGGTTAATGGCATTGGACTGCAAAGGTCAGCGGTCTTCTTGGAAACCCTATACAGGGTTGGAACCCCAACTCCATGGCACTTAACAATAACAACAGCAAACCCTTCTCCAAAGAATTTGGTACTCTTCCATTTACAACACATCAAAATGGCAGTTTAGACATCCTTAAGGGATTCAAATTTAAGTCTGGAGGGTGGATGGGTAAAGTTTTCCCATAGAAATTCTCAATAGATTAGCCGTTGCTACCTTGATCAAAGAAGCTCTGGTAGTGTAGTGGTTACAAATCGGGCTGAGAACCTTAAGGTCAGCAGTTCGAAACTACCAGCCGCTCCGTTTAAGAAGAGGCTTTCTGTTCCCGTTAAGATTTATAGCCTTGGAAACCCTGTACAGGGTCGCTATGGGTCGGAACTGACTCGACGGCACTTAACAACAACCCTTGATCAGGTGCACTACCTCCAAGTTCCTTGGAGCAACTTGCCTGTCATTTTTCTTACTAATGCAGTTTTCAGTTTTCTTAAAATTTCTTCATAATAAGCTCCTATGGTCCTCCTAAGGAGCTCTGGTAGTGGAGTGGTTACGAGTCAAACTGCTAACCTCAAGGTCAGTGGTTCAAAAACTACCAGCTGTTTCACAGGAGAAAGATGAGAGTTTCTGCTCCCGTCCAGATTTACAGCCTTAGAAACCCAATAGAGTGGCTGAGTCAGAAACAATTTGACGGCACACCGCCACCACCATCACCACCACAGTCATCCATGTCAGCTGACAAAATCTATCAAGATTACCCTTTTGGAGTCCCAGATAAAGTCATAATCTAGACCACTCTGTCTTGAACTTGCCTGGCAAGTCCTCTTAGAAGCCACTGTTATGAAGCACTTTTTGAAGGCACCCTAACAAGACTAAGACAAGTTCATTACAGAGAGAACTTGTCTGCAGCCATCCACTGATTGCAGAGACTTGTTCAAACACATTTTGACCAGAGCAAACCCATGTATGTGTGAACTGGAACCCTCTTGATTTACCTTCATATGCTATGCTAACACAGCAATACCTCTTGATTTACCTTCATATGCTATGCTAACTTCCAGTTACATGAAATAACTTCAAAGCAAAAATCTTCAATGGAAAGTCATCAGTCTTTTATTAAGACTTATGACATATTCAAGGAGCAATATGGTGGAACAGTGCTTAAGCCCTCAGCTGCTAACAAACAGTTGGAGATACAAATCCACTAGCAGCTTTCTCACAGGAAACCTAATGGGCCAGTTCTACTTTGTCCTAACTTATAAAAGACAACACCATTCTTACCATTATGCTTTAGAAAAGATAAATTCTACTTGAAAATCTATACAGAAAACCCAAAAACACTAGGAAAAAAATACAAGACTGCAGGAGCCTGGAAGTATAGTGGGTCATGTGTTGGACTGCTAACTGCAAGGTGAACAGTTCAAATTTATTAGGCACACTATGGGAGTAAGATGAAGCTTTCCGATCCCATAAAGATTTAGTCTCAGAAACCCTATACAGGGTCTCAGAGTGGGAGCCAATCAGTGGCACATAACCACCACATTTCCATATTCTTAGTACTAGAGAGATCTATCAAAGAATATGAAATTCAAGAAGGAAATCAACTAATTTGACTTCATTTATGTGAAAAGACAACATAATGTTAAATGAAACATTTGTTAGCAGACAAAAGTTAAATACACTTGATATACAGAAAACTACCTATTGTTAATAAAAATAGATAAGTCAGGCAAATTTCAGAAGAAACACAAGTGGCTTGAGTGAAAAGATACCCAACCCCACCAGAATTAGAGAAACACATATTTAAACAAAATAGTACCGTTCTCAAAAAAAAAAAAAGTAGGGGGGATTCATTGGTAATGATTATTTATTAAGGAATAAAAACTTAATTCTTTTAGCAAGTAAGTTACCAGTATCTAAAGGATATTGCATCCTGGTGTGGCGCTGTGGGTTAACACGACAGACTGCAAAGCTGTTTGAACTGCAAGGTCGGTGGTTCAAGCTCACCAGCTGCACCTCAAAACACTATACAGGGTCGCTATGGGTCAGAATCGACTCAACGGCACTTAAAGACAACAACAAAGGATATTGCATCCTTCAGGACCTAGAAGTTCTACTTCTAAAAAATATTTCTTACAGAGAAATACAAATAACACTTGGACATGTTGTTGTTGAGCGCTGTCGAGTCAGTTCCAACCCATAGTGACCCTGTACAGGGTTTCCGAGGAGCAGCTGGTTAACACTTGGATCAGGATACATGAAAAGCCAGTTTGTTAACACTCAAAAACTACAGACAATTTAAAATTTTAGCTGTTACGACATAAATGATATGATATAAAAAATACACATTTGTTAAAAAGAATATAAGGCAAACTTAATTTATTGATGGGTGGTCATAGCTGTTTGAGCCACTGAATTAGTTTTGACTCAAACCACCCTGTATAGGGTTACCAAGGAGGGCTGGTGGGTTTGAACTGCTGACCTTGCAATGAGCAGTGTTTAACACCAGGACTCCAAAGGTGGGGGTTCATAAAATGCAGTAACTGAACAATGCAAATGGCAGAACATGTCTAGCTTAATGCTGTTTTTAAAAAAAAAAGCAGCCCTGGAGGTGCTGGTGGGTTAGGTATTGGGCTAACTGCAAGGTTGACAGTTTAGAGCCCCCAGCCTCTCCAAGGAAGAAAGAAGACGCTGGCTGTTCCCATAAACATGTGCAGTGTTGGAAACCCAAAGAAGGTAATTCTCCTCTTTTCTACAGGGCAGTTAGGCAAAGAGTCGGATCTCAATGGCAGTGGGTTTTGAGGTTAATAAAATAAACATGGATATTAACATCAATTGAAATATAAGGAGCTTCAAAAGATTGGTGAAGAAAATTCCCTTACCTTTTAATTCTATTTTCCAACAAATTTTTTAAGTCCCCTCATACGTACAAGTATCACATAGGAAACGGCTTACATTGGCTCCAATAGTTGAAGTATAAGTTCAATAGTATATATGTTGAACTTTGAACACAAGGTCAATAGTTTGAGTCCACCAGTCGCTCTTCAGGAGAAAGATGAGGCTTTCTACTTCCTCAAAATTTTACAGCCTCAGTAACCATATGTATAAGGCCCAGACATGTCGGAACCGACTTAACACACATCGTAGGAGAAAAAAAAAAAAAATCTAAAAGCATACATAAAGGAAGATAAGGCTGGAATTTTCAGTTTTCACTTTATACATTTCTGTAAAATCTTTACAAGCATGAATTATTTTTGTGATTTTTAACCATCAAGTGGTTTTTACATGGTTCTTAGAAGAGGAAAAAAAAATCAAATCACATAATAAGCATAACTTTCAGCATCCTTCTCTAAGAATGTAATGAAATTAATTTTTGAAATCCATTGAGTAATTTTAATTGGAGTCAAAATACAATTTTCCAAAAAGTTACACGAGAGACAAAAAATACCAACCAGGGTCTCTTGTTCGGAAGCAGGAATCTGCGAGGTGCTTGCAGAAGCAGCACCGTCGGTAGAAGACACAGACATGTTGGTAGTGCACATTTGTCTACAAGCAGAAAAACAAAACACACCACCACAAATGAGGAAAACATTAAGAATGAAACATCTACGAAAGAGACACAATCGTCTATCAAGAAGGCTAAGTGGGCTTGGGGCTTGTATTAAAACTAACGCCCTTAGCAAGTCGGGCCTTACCCAGATCCGTCTAGACGCAGGAGGTACCTCGCTCGTGCGGCTGCGATCAGCAATGAACTCAGCTGCGGAAAGGCATGGTTTTTAAAGCGCCTCGGCGCTAGACAAGTCCGGGCTTAGCTCCTGTTCCTGCCCACGCGGAACGTGTCCGAACTTGACCAGCCCACTAAGAAAGGCTGAGTCAACTTGCCCACTGAACCAGCCCAATCTCGCTCAGGGGCGAACCCCGGCCCTGACAAGCTACTGAACAGGCACCTGTCATTCAGACCTCTATCCGGTAGCCAGGGGTCCAGGCCCCGCACTCCTCCGCCCACCCGGCCTAGGCCCCTACCTCCGGGAGACCCCCACCCCCACCCTGCCCTAGCCGGCGCGCAGAGCCCAAACCCCGCCCTCCTATCGGGCGGTGACAAGCTCGCCTCCCAGCCCCACAACCGCAGGCCACGTGCACAGCGACCCCGACTACAAAGAACATAAAAGCTGCACCGCGGGAGCGCCTAGCGGCGGAAGCCAAATTGAGCTAGGAGACCTAAGTCACAGATCGGACGCAGGGCTGACCTTGCGCTTCCGGGACAATGCCTTCGACTCACCATCCGGGTTGCCGGGATTGGGGGCGCAGGGGATTCCCCCCGAGGCTCTCCAGGTCCCTTCACTGAGCACTCGGAAACCCTACGTCCTGGGCCTTGACGACCATTCCACTCGCAGGGCCCTCGCCGCTGGGGCGCTCGAACAATGTAGGTCCCAGAAAGGCTCCAGGCTGCGAAAGCGAAGGGACCTGATTCGGAGCGGTTAGGGCTGCCCCCCAGAACCGGCTTCTCGTCCCATACCCCTTCCAATCGTAAAGGTCCTCACAGGCCCCAAAAGGAACCCAGGTAGTAAAGGTTTCCCCTTACACGCCTCCTACCGCCCGAGGGGAGCGCGCCGGAAGCTGCGGTCCATCCGGGCGTTTGCGCGCGCGCGCCCAGGCCTCGCAGCCTCCACCAATTAGGGAAGGGGTTTCTGCGTCGCTTGTCTCGGCCCCTCCGCCTCCGCGAATGGGGGCTCCGGAGGGATTCAGTGCCCGCGCGCCCAGGCCCCGCCGCGGCCGCCAGTTGGGGGAGGGGTCTCGGTGCGCGGTGGGAGCCCAACGGCCTCTGCAGGCGGGGACGGGGGTTGCGCGTCCAGCTGCCCGCACTACCCCCTCCATCGCCTGGGCTGCAGGGTGACGCTTGGGATCCTTTCTGTAACCGTTTGGCTGTTTTTGTACTTTGTGTGTTTACACCCCCTCCACAGCGCTGGAAACGACAAGCAGATCCAAACCCAAGTCCAGCTGGTGTCGAAAGAGAAACCAAAATTAACCGCTGTTTGATATATTAAGCCCATACCGCGTTGTATACAAATGAGAATTCTTTGAAGCTTTCAGTTTTGCTAGTTTGGGGGGTGGGGGACGGTTCAAGTAGGATTTTAAATAGTACATAATACAGGCTTTAATACAGGAGCATAGAAATAGTGGATGCCGTTGAAGAGTGGAAGGGGAAGGAAGGCGATTCCCCTTCTATGTTTTCAGAATATTTGTGTTTGGTTGCTTACTTTTGGATTCTCACTCAATAGAACCTGTAGAAGGTTCCATACTTTGAAACGCAAGGTCAGCGGTTCAAACTCACCAGCCGCTCCTTGGAAACTCCATACAGGGTCTCTATAAGTCGGAACAGACTTAACAAGTCTTTACAGAGGCCAAATCTTTCTCCCATGGAGCAGACTAGTGGGTTTTAACTACCATCCTTTCTATTAGCAGCTGAGCACTTCTGCAACATCAGAGCTCGAGTGTTGGTTGGTCGGTTGGTTTGTGTTAGGCGCTCAAATCACTGACACTTGAAAGACCTATTTTCCCTGCGAGTGTTTTTGAGGCGATCTCAAAAATGAACAAGGACATAAGAACTGAGTTGGCTTAATCAAAATATAAAACCCGTTGACTGAGAACACCTTCACTTCTAGAAATCTGGAAGTGAGCAAGAACCGCTTTTTCGTAAAATTGTATCCTCTTGTCTCCCACCTTAGCCTACTAGAAAGGGACTTTGCCTTAAACAGTGTTCATTCAGTTAATTGAATTGTTAACAATGTTAACTTGAGGGATTTGGCGCATTTTTTTTTTTTAATCTCATCTTTGTAAAATCAACTATATGAGATTTCTGGTTGTAAGACCTCATGTTAGACATCAGACGGAGACTCACCATAAGTGGAGAAAACATAGACACAAAAAGAAATGACACAAAGTGGCATTTGTTAAATGCCAGTGAATTAACACCTATGTACTCTTAGGAGTGTAAAGACAGGATTCATCAGTAAATGTGTGGGCAGTTCACAGAGGCCTCAGAAAGTCACACACGTTTGAGTCTTGAAGGATGGTAGGACTTAAAAACAAGAATCTACTCAGTGGCTAAGTAGGAGAAATAAATACCTGGTGTTCTGCTCCCATAAATATTATTGTTATTTACTGGGCGGCTGCACAGAAAGGAATGCCTCATCTTTCTCCGGGGAACTGCTGGTAGTTTCGAACTTCAGACCTTGAGGTGGGCAGCCCAACTCGTAACCACTACGCTACCAAAGTCAAGGAAACATTATGGGAAAATTTTATGGCATATGAGTTGCTATGCGTCGAAATCAACTCAAAAGCATATAACAATTTCTTATACAAGAAAAATTTGATTTAAAAAGTCCAGAAATGAAAGTATAACAAAGCTCTTTAGAAAGCAATAAATCAATTTGACTTGCATGAAAGGTAAAAAAGACAGAGGGAAAAAAAATTTAGAACTTGGCGGTTCCTTAACAATGGTTAGAGTAGTCAGAGGACAGATAAGGGAAGCATGTAAACAGTTGATTTGTTTCAAACTGTAGCTTAACACGACCAAGGAGTCAATTCAAGCTCTGAATAGTTGGGTTAGTACTTTTTGTAACAACTTTGCCCTTTATCATTGGTTCTGTGTTTTTGAAAAAGTGATAGAATTTAACTTTTAGGGGGAGATAAAGCAAGTATTCAATCTTTCAAATTATTGCTGTTGAGAACTTACTGTGTTTACCAAGCAGTGCCCCAGTCCCAAGTATGAGTAACACAGAAGTCACTGTCCCTGTTGTCATGGAACCTAGCAGGGTGTAGGACAATGAGTTGCTCTATATATGCCCTTTGTGATCCTGGATTCACAATTCTGCTAAAATGATTTGCTACACCATCATCTTGCAAAGAGATTGATGGGTCTGCAATGCAAATAAGGTGTGTATTTACGTCTAGACTAGGCCTAGGGCTTCGTTGATTGTTAGTGTTATAATTAGGACTGCGGTTAGGATCAGGTTTAGGGTTAGGGGTTGGGCTAGGACTAAGAGGAAGGTTTGGTCTAATTTTAGGTTACAGTTAAATTTCTTTATTTTACTTGTTCTTGAAATCTACTTGATTTCCTGTTCGTTTGAAAATTTGTAATTTTATTAATCCTTTTTACTTTGTAGAAGTTTTTGTTGTAGCAAACTGGTATTAATGGTTCCCTGCTCTGGTAGTGTAGTGGTTACAAATTGGGCTGCTAATCTCACAGTCAGCAGTTCGAAACAACCATCTGTTCCTTGCAAGAAAGATGAGGTTTTCTGCTCCCATAAAGATTTATAGCCTCGGAAACCCTGTAGAAGGTCGCTATGAGTTGGAATCGACTCCATGACACATAACAACAACAACAACCATTATTAGTGGAAACCTGATGTGGCACTGTAGGTTAATGCACTAGACTGCAAAGCCATTTGAACTGCAAGGTTGGCGGTTCAAGCTCATCGGCTGCTCTTGGAAACCCTATACAGGGTCACTATGGGTTGGAACCGACTCGATGGCACTTCACAACAACAATAACAATCATTATTAGTTATGGTGTTGGAGGAGAATATTGAAAGTGCCATGGGCTGCCAAAAGAACCAACAGATCTGTGTTGGAAGAAGTGCAGCCAGAGTGTTCCTTGGAGGCCAAGATGGCCAAACTTTGTCTCTCATACTTTGGACATATTGTCAGGAAGGACCAGTCACTGGTGAAGGATATCATGTTTGGTAAGGTGGAGGGTCAGAGAAAAAGAGGAAGACCCCCAACGAGATGGATTGGCAAAGTAGCAGCATCGATGGACTCAAGCGTGGCAACAATAGTGAGGTTGGTCCAGAATCAGGCAGTGTTTCTTTCTGTTGTGCATAGGGTCACTATGAATCGATGCCGACTCAATGGCACCTAACAACAACAAGATTTTTGTGGCACTGTGGGCTAATGCATCAGACTGCAAAGTCGATTGAACTGCAGGGTCAGTGGTTCGAGCTCACCAAGCTACTCCTTGGAAATCCTATACCGGGTTGCTGTGGGTAGCAATCGACTCAACAGCACTTACCAACAACATTTTCAGTTTTGTAGGTTTGTTTTACTTTGGATATTTCTGTATCATGTATGTTAATCTCAGATTGTTGGCTACTGTTGTTAGTTCTCTATCCAAAGAATGCCTTTTAGAATTTTTTTTAAGGCTCTTCTGATTTTTACGAGTTCTTTTCAATTTCTGTTTATCTGAAAATGTCATAATTTCACTCCTGAAGAAAAGTTTTGCTAGGTATATGATTCTGGATTTGCAATTTTGTTCTTTCAGAGCTTTATATGTATCATTTCATTGTTTTCTTTCCTATATGATTTCTGCTGATAAAGTAGATCTTAGTCTTATTGATTCTTCTTAGTAGGTAACCTTTCATTTTTCTCAAGCTATTCTCAGTATTCTTTCCTTGTCTTTGGTTTTAGAAAGTTTGGTTGTAATATATCTTGTTGTTAAGTGCCATCTAGTCAGTTCTGACTCATAATGACCCTGTATAGGGTTTCTGAGGAGCAGCTG